GTCAATAAAAGCAATCGTGTAGGGTTCACTAATGACCATCCGAGGCTGTCATAGCCGAACGAACAAAGTACATGACTAAGAACGAGCTGTCGTGTACTGCACAAGACGGCAACGTTGCATGTCGTATACAGTGCTGAGATTTGTCATTGTCATTGACAGACTTTTGCGCGATATTGACAAAATTGTTTTTCACATAGTCAATGATAGACTTGATCTTCAAAAAAATCTTTGTCAAAATCTCATTCATTTTTTCGTCAATGACAAAGATTCAACTGGTAACAGAAAGGGTAATTTCTTGCATTCTAAGTCACATTATTGTTATCCAAGCTGTTCAACACGAAGATGCTTGTTCACTTTAATGGCTCCATGTGATTGTTTTCCTCAAGCCATTTAATTTCATTTTAAATTTAGCTAATAAACAAATCAGCACATGTTCGTCACTGACAAAAATGCCACTGACAATTGACATGGTATGCCTTGACGATGACTGTTAGCTCAAACGAGTGACCAAAGCAGAATTTTGAGTATCACCGTGTATTGTCGAAATTGTGCAGCACTGGTCGTATAACAGCCTCACTGTGGGCTGCCGCTTATAGCTCAATCTCAAGGCTGTCGTAGGAAAAAGAAAGCGACAGCCGTTGGAATACTGTCATGAGGCGGTACTTTTGGTATGCCTGGTTTTGAGCACTCGTCAAATTGTTGTTTTCGGCATCTTCAGCACTTTAGTCAGCTTGGAACCGGACACTCAGGATTTTCCAGGTGTTTGTGCACAATATTTTTTTCTTCTTTCAAGTTCTATTTGCAGTGTTCACTCGGCTGTCGACAAAAGCAGGCGACTCTCGATGTGTGCCACGCGATCGTCTGTTTTTTCGGCAGCAACCATTGTGTGGTCCTCCTCATTGTTCTTCATCAGCAGTTCTTTCGGTCGATACGTCGTCGACTTTGGAAAGCAACCGTTTAGTGATAAGTGTGTGAGTGCTGACCACGTTTTGCGTTCATTGCTGCAATGGAAGCGCTCTGACCCTCGTTGGCGTAACTGTCATACAATCAAACCACTTGAAGCGGCTCCAATTCGGATGGAGGAGGAGGCTTTTTGGATAGCGGAAGATAAAGTGTTTATTGTGTTGTACCTTTTGACTATAGTTTTAAGATGTATTGTATAGTGACCAAGAATCCTCGGCTCTGTAAAGTTAATTCGTTTGAGCCTTATCAAATAAATTAATAAATTTATAAGTTCTATTTGACGTTATTTCTGAACGCGATCGACTACTTTGATCAACGGCGCCGGTGGTGTAGTGGTAAGCGTGATTACCTCTCACCCCAGAAGGCCTAGGTTCAATCCCAGTCGGTGCCGCCGGGATGTTCTGAGGCATAACATCTCTGATCACGCCTTCCTTCGGATGGGAAGTAAAGCCGTTGGTCCCCGGTTCATGAGGTGATGGGTCGATAGGTAGGGTCCAGGTGTTGGAGCTGCCTTCCTGGCACGTCGGTAGCATTGGTGCTCAGCACGGAAAACAAGATCGACGGAAAAAATAAACCAAAGGACTACTTTGATCAAACTTGCACCAGTTGTTCACACGAGGGGCGATCAAATTGGATCGTGTCAAACAAGCTTTTATGGAGTTCGGAGCCTGCTCAGAAACAGTTTTCAACGCCAGCAAGACGGTAGCAGTAAATATTGGAAGACAACGATTGGTGTTACCTACATTAACTCGTTAAAGAAAACTATCGATTTTAACTGGGGAGAAGCCATTCGAAAAACATCGCATCTTATGCGGTTGTTCAAATCAAGAAACCTGACTCTGCACCAGAAGGTAATTGTTTTAAACACGTATATTATGTCACGTTTGTGGTATTTGGCTTCAGTTCTTAGTATGCCTAACTCTGCAATTGCAAGAATAACATCGCAAATAGGATACTTCTTATGGAGTCGTTTCCCTACAAGAGCTCCTATGGAGCAACTTAAATTGCCTCTCAATTGTGGTGGCTTAAATCTTCATCTGCCCATGCACAAAAGCAAATCACTTCTGGTGACAGGTTCTGCTGTAGTCTTGCGCACACACCGTTCGCACGAGATCTTTCAGTACGCAAAGCAAATCCACCAAACATTGCGGTCATACCAGCGCTCTATCTCTGTTTAAAATATACCGGGAAAATAAACCAGTGCAGATCATAAGAAACCCATCATCTGATGGACTACATTATTTCTTTCGCGACAAGATGAAGCGCCCTAAAATTGTTGAAGAAAACCCAAGCATCGCATGGAGCAAAGTATGGAATAATATCAACAGCAAACATCTTACATCAGCTGAAAGATCAACATTCTTCCTGTTGGTTAACCGGAAAATACATCATGCAGACTTATTGCATTGCACTAACCGACAAGACAGTCCTATGTGCCAGTTGTGCCCACACATAATTTGTTCATCGATTTCAAATCCGCATACGACACAATCGATCGAGATCAGGTATGGCAGATTATGCACGAGTATGGATTTCCGGATAAACTATGCGATTGGTCAAGGCGACGATGGATCGAGTGATGTGCTTTGTTCGAATATCGCGGACACTCTCGAGTCCCTTCGAATCTCAAAGGGGGCTACGGCAAGGTGATGAACTTTCGTGTCTGCTGTTCAACATCGCGTTAGAAGGTGTGATCAGAAGAGCTGAGATAGACACGAGTGGCACGATCTTCAGGAAGTCCATCCAGCTTCTCGGCTTCGCCTATGACATTGACATCATGGCACGGAACTTTGAGACGATGGCGGAAACGTACATCAGACTGAAGGCTGAAGCTAGGCGGATTGGACTTGCCATCAACGCATCAAAGACAAAATACATGAAAGAAAGAGGTTCTAGGGAAGACAATGTTAGCCTCCCATCCCGAGTTCAGATTGACGGTGACGAAATCGAGGTGGTCGATGAGTTCGTGTATTTGGGCTCACTGGTGACCGCCGAAAATGATACCAGCAGAGAAATTCTATGACGCATTATGGCAGGGAATCGTGCCTACTTTTGATTTTGAATAAAATTCGCCGCCGCACGAAGTTGACTGTCTACAAGACGCTGATTAGACCGGTGGTCCTCTACGGCCACGAGACCTGGACTATGCTTGTGGAGGACCAACGCGCTCTTGGTGGTTTCGAACGGAAGGTGTTGCGTACCATCTGCAGTGGAGTGCAAATGGATGACGGAACGTGGAGGAAGCCAATGAACCACGTATTACACCAGCTGGGAGAACCATCCATCGTCCACATTGCAAAAGTTGTGGGTGGGCTGGGCACGTCGTAAGAATGCCCCACGACGACCCAGAGAAAATGGTTCTAGAAAGCGACCCAACAGGAACAAGAAGAAGAGGCACGCAGCGGGCAAGGTGGATCGACCAAGTAGAAGGCAACTTGCGGACCCTTCGCAGACTACGAGGCTGGCGAAGTGTGGCCATGGATCGAGTAGATTGGAGACGACTTCTTCCAACAGCAGAAGACAACAAGGCCTTAGCCTGGATAGTAAGGTAAGTATGATACATTTCCTAGAATCGGTGACGTGCAATGCAAATGTATATTATATAACATAATGAAAATTTACACTATTGCAGAAAAAAATGCTCTGAAAATCCGAAACCTAACTTTACATAAGACAAAGCTTTCCCAAAATAATGAAACGTTAATTCTTAAATCATACTTCCGAATCATACTTTAAATCACCTTCAATCGTTGCAGGCATTCCAATCGCTAATTGAACATCATTGACCAGGAAAAGAGGCATGTTCCAACGATTCGAACCCCCATAAATATGCACCCAGTTAACAGCATTTCGAACAACAACCACATCCGCGGCATGGTGGGCAATTCATTCCCAAAAATTATTATTACAATCAAGCATAATTTATTACGCCCCGAAGATATGCTCTCGCAACATGCAAAATAACCACCCAGCAGACAATCCAGCAACATTCGAGCGGCGCTGCTGCTGCTGCGGCCAGCCGAGCAAAACAAACCTCTGTAAGATCCGGTGTCGGTGGTAAGAAAGCATTTCTCCGCAGATGCACTTTTTTATGCTGCTGCTGCTGCTCCACCGACCGACCGACCGACCGACCGACCGGAGGGAGAAAGCATTCGTCGAAGAGAGGCTGAGAGCGAGCTCAAATCGGGGAGAAATGGCGTTCGTTGACACAGTTTTTCCGGGAGAGTGCTCCCAAGGTCTGCGAATCTTCGCGAGAGGAGAGCGGAAAAGCGATCGATCAAGCGGGGTTCGTCTCTTACGGTACGAGGCAAGTCTCCCCAGTCGCTGCTGCAGGTGGGTTGCAAAGAAAGGAAAAGCAGAGCATAAGGATGGTTGGAGCCGGTGAGAGCGGTCGAGTGTGTGTGAGAGAGAGAGAGTTTATGTTGCTCCCCATTTCTTGTGAGAGAGCGGATGGCTGCTGCTGCTTCTGCCTCCACAGTCGGTCGGTCGGTACGAGGAAGACCCCACTTTCCCGGTTCAGCCCGGAACGGACTCTGCTGCTTTCTCTATAAATTCCGTAAGCCTTGGCATTGAAAATTCATTCTCGGTGTATTTCTCCTTGGACTTGGACCAGTTTCTTGAACTCCTCGGTGCCGGTTTAGTCCGTGACTTGGTGCGTTCGAACATCTCAGATCTGGAATAAGTGAAGTGCGATCGCGGTCGTTCGTTCTCGGGTGGTGCGTGGAATGAATTTTTAGCAAATCGAGAATCGAGATCGAAGTGCAGTGTGTGCCTCTGTGATTGCAATATAATCCCGTTCCAGTGTGAGAAGATAGTGGTACGACCGCAGAACATAACTCAGATATTGTCAAGAACCTGTTCCCGACCGAGACATACATACATACACACACACACAAACACACTAGTTGGGGGTTGTTGTGCCGCGCAAAGTTCAAGTGCTGCAGCTGTGCAGAGAACAGAGAAGCGATAACAATCTGTGGCAAGAACCGAGAAAGCTTGGAAATCTGATAACTCCGAGGGTCTCTAATTAGCAACAAGTTGAAAGCCGAAGCCGGGATAGGAAAAGCATAAAACAAGTGAACAGCAAAGAGTAAATCGGAAGTTTGAAGAGTTATCTTAGAGCATCTTGAAAGTGTGTTGTTGGGAAGAGCAAACATCCACCTAGAAAATAAAGTAAAAAAAAAAGAAAAGAAGTGTCGGAAGAGGAAAATCCCAAGAAGGCACCGGGCAAAAGTGCAACGCAGAGCAACTGAACAAACGAAGCGACTACTTTGGGAACAGAGTGAAGTGAGTGGTTGTGTGTTTATTTTCGTTGTCGGCGAGCCTCACCTCGGAGTCCGGAGGAAGTTAAGCTCGAAAAGTGCAAACAAGCAGCAGAATGTGGAAGTCTACGGCGGCAGTAATACTGGTGGCAGCGGCAGCGGTACTTTTGATTGAGGCCAGCCATGCAAAAGGTGCGTTCGAAAATAAAAACACACAGTAAACCCAGAAATAAATAAAGCAAGTCAAATGTTGCGGGGAATAGATTTGCATAAATTCGGCAGTCGCGGAAAGAAGGAGCATGCGTGTATGTGTGTGCTTGTGTGTGAGAGAGGACAATACCGCGAGGCAGTTCGCGCCTACTTCCGAATTTGCATAATTTGGGGATCGGGAACAAAAGGAAGCTTCATCTTCGGGGCAGCCGATTTATCACTGTTTTTGGGGAGGAAATTAACTGTTAGACATGGACACTGGACGGAGGTGATAAGTCGCTTTGAACGGGACGGGCTGACAAGCGTTATGGGCAGTTTATTGATTTATTGCTGGACTTAGCGATGGTTCGTTCGTTTTATGGGGGGGATTTAACGGTGCACTGATTCCAATTGGTTTTCGGTTCGGCGAATGCATAATCCATTAGGAGAGGTATTCTATGGAAATTAGATCAATAAATTTGGGAAGGTTATGAAACTGTCGCGAAACGAGGACATGGTTGAGATAATTTTTGTTGTGAAACATGATTGTTTGAATTGATTTTATATTTGTAAATTTTTTTCGGATATCGGTATCATTTCAAAAATCGGTATTTATTGGTATTCTAATGTATTTTCTGAAACTCATCGAGAAGCGGCTATAGGTGGCACAAATGAAACCCTCCCTCAGTGAAGTAGCAAAGCACATTCCAAGAGTTTTGTAAACTTATATTACAGTAAACTCTCCCTAGCTCGATATTGAAGGGACCATTGAGAAAATGAGGATATCGAGATAGGGAGGTAAGTTTTGGGAATTTTGTATGGTAAGAGTGGTCGAAGTAGCCTGGATCTCCATCGAGTAAGGAAGAATATCGATTAAGGGAAAGATCGAGTAAGGGAGGTGCATTGAATCTTTAAATAAAATAATTTAAATTTATGTACAAGATAGTTTTTAAAAGTTTCAGAATTTCAAGGAAAATTTTTCAATGAGGCGAGTCTGGGCTATTGGTGGGCTGGATCGGTTTTTAAGCTGGCTTTTTGAATTTGATTTAAATAATTTAAAAAAGGCTACGGTGTAATGAAAAAGTCTACGTGACCCTGGGTCTGATAAAACATTTCTCGAATATAATTCTTGGATCTTTTCAAGGTTTTGTTTTTAAGACTTCAAGCTTGGAATTTATTTTGAAATTCTGGTTCTACAGACAAAACACAATTCAAATGTGAAGAAATTTGCAAGATTATTGGGCTAAGTGAAATATTCAATATGATGGTTTAAAAAAATCCGAATGCTTTGGAAACATTTTCAAAACATATGAAAATGTTTCCAAAAATATCTGCTCAAAAAATCAAAGATGAAAACGTGGCTGATCAAAAATCATTCTTGAAATTGGATACATTTTTAAATTCCTAGTTCCTAGCAATTGAAATTCTTCTCACTCACGACGATGAAGTTTGAAACCGATTAGACTCAAAACGGACACCTTCGCGGCTACTTCCGAAAATGAAAATTCTAGGTATTTTCGACTAACGCGAAATTTGTATGCTTTGGGCTAACAAGCGATCGTCTGTTTCATCCAAATGCTAAATTTCAACTAACTTTGGAAAATACAATTCGGTTCGTAGGTTTGGCTATATCTTTCATTGTAGTAGTATGGAGGAAAGGTTACTATGAATTAAAGAACGCAAAGACTCAACTTCCTATTATAGAGTTCGATAATAAATTATTAGATGTTATCGGGAAATTGTTACACAATTTGAATTCTAGTTCAACAAAATTAGGAAAAGTGTAATCATATTAATTAATATTTAATTCTGCTTCAAACAGGGCCTATAACTTTTTTTAAACAAAACATGTAACGTCATTTTCACGCGAACCAAAGCTCGTTTACGCAAATCATCGACACTATTGGGAAGAGGAGAAGTTGCATAGGCGAGCTCAGGGATCTTTATCTACAAAAGCTGAAAGGCTATTTTCAATTGTTGACCTGAATTTCATAAAGCAAAATCATTGATGCCATAGACCTTTGCAAATTAATTTTGAAGTATTTGTCTCCCGGGAAAAAATTAACCTTTAATTTTTGTTCATACTAATGCTTAATTTAAACCAACTATACAAAGATCCAGCCAACTATTTAGACAATTGTGAAGAAATTACAACATTAAAGTCTGGCATGTGGCTCAATGAGCTGGATCTTACTGGATTATCAAGGTGAAGTAGTCGTTTTAATTGTGCGGCCAGGAACCTACCGACCAAGACGTTCTGAGTGCCAATACTGCAGCAAAAGTTGGAGATGTCACAAGAGTGCCGTTCCAGTTCGTGAAGCTCGGGAAACGCACAGTGGGACGAAAGCAAAAATAGTGGGACATGACTATTTGCGACGAAACTATTGAGTGTAGCATGTTGACGTCTTCAAGAATGCTTCTTCATTTTTTGAATACTTTAATTGAGAAGTGAACATTTTTTATTAAGGGGGGTATAAACTAAGTTAAAAAAGAACTTTTTTATGTCTTGTTTAAATTGATGAACATCCATGAAAACATTCTAGATGAAGGCATTTCAAGAAACTTTGTCCAAGAAGTTTATTTTCTATCTCTCAAGTGGACGAAGTTATAGAGAAAAAACGGAGTTCTAACGTTAGTACCCCCTCACCAACCTTTTTTTCCAAAACTTTTTAGTTTTTTCAATGTTCTACAAAGCTGTAACTGCTCTAAAAATACAGAGTTTTGCTCCACGAAGCAAATCGCTATCTCTTAATGTAAAGGATTTCCATACGTATTTATATTTTTTCAACACTAACTTTAAAGGGGTGCATTTTGAAGGTTAACATGTATAAGCAGCTAAACTCGACGTAATTTCGTTCAACAACTTATACCCTACTGTTACATATACAATTCAAACGGGGATCCAAGGGGATGCCTAGTGAATTTTCTAATATAGTCCCTAAATGTTTTTTTTTTAAGCTTGTACATTAGAGTGGGTTGTGGCTTCGACAAACTTGTTTGGTATAGTATTCTCAATCTAAGTTCGAGTTTTGGTGAAATTTGAGCAAAATTTGGATTTTTGGTAAGCAAATGAATAGGATCGTTCCGTTTCACAAACAAAATTTAAAATTCTCCCGCATATTAAAACCAAATTCGTTCAAATTTTGCCAAGTTGTTGGGGACAAGAATCAGCATTGAAAGAGTATTGAAAATCCCACTCTAATCTAAACACTTGGAAAATGGTCATGGAAACCGCAAAACGTAAGGTACTTTTTAGAAAATTCAGTATGCATCCCCCTATGAATTGTATATGCAGAAGTAGACTAGAAGGTGTCGAAAAAAATTACGTTGAGATTAATTGCTAATACCTGTTAACATGCAAGAAACACCCCCTTACAGAAAACGTTAAAAAATTATAAAAAGGGACTTAAATCCTTAAAGAACGAGATAGCGATTTGTGTTTTGGAACAAAAATATGCAGTTTTAAAGCACTTACAACTTTGTAAAACATCGAGAAAATTGTAAAATTCAAACTAAAAAGTTATGGCAAACAAACGGTTTTTAAGGGCATACTACCGTTTGTAATCCATTTTGACCCTATAACCGTCTACTTGAGAGATGGAAAATTTACGTCTTCGACAAAGTTCCAGAAAAAAAAAACTTCATCATAGATGATCATCAATTTTAACAAGACATAAAAAAAAAGTTATTTTTTATTTTAGTGTGTAACCCCCTTAAGCAAATAATTCATCACTGCAATAAAGTATTTGAAAATTGAAGAAGCATTCTAGAAGACATCAAAATGCTTCACTCAATCGTTTTGTCGCAAGTGGCCATGTCATGAAAGTTCAGGGATAGCATTGAAACTCCATAAAACTTTATTGATCATTGCGGAAGTTCAATTAATCTTATAGTAAATTCAGGGATGTTTAGAAAATTAAGATAAAAGTAAAAAAAAAACTCTCTTGAGGTGCAGTAAATTCTGAATAAGTTCTGTAAACTATGTAGACATTTATTGGACTTTAAAGAATTTAGAAAACCTTGTTAACCTTATAGAATCTCAGCTAAATTTGATTAAATTCAGTGAACTCCGCAGGATAGCTGAGAACTGTATAGAAGTTCAACGAATTTCGTAAAAATTCAGTGATCTTTGTAGAGCTTTATCAGACTTTGTTGTGAAATAGTAAACTTTAGAGGACTTAAGTGAAGTTTGCAATGAAAAAAAAATCATAAATTCAGGGAAACTCGTAAAATTTCAGGTACATCGTAGAATGTCAAGAAACATAATAAAAAATCAGAAAACATGGTAGATATTCTGGAAACTTCGTAGAGCTTCAAAGAACTAAGTACAGTCAAGATTCCTATAGTACGGTTAATAGGGACCGCACTATGGGAACCGGCATTAACGAATACACGTAGCATATGGGATTAGAGCTAATTGGGACCAAACACTGATTGTCGAGCAATTTGAAGAGATAACTTCCTGATGTCTTATGAGAAGTTATTAACCAGACAGTTGGCCACCTTTTGGGATGATTCAATTTCCGGTAGGACACAAATCTGATCCTGTGGAAGATCCGGAACATCCCTAAAAGTGCTCAATTCATGAAATTGATCCTTGAGCTCCACGATTTTTTAGAAAGCACTCATAGACATCTTATCACAATAAAATCGGAGTTTTGACCAGACAGCTTATACTGCGGACCGTTAAAAGTGTCTAGAAGAATTACTTAAATACCACCTAGAAATCATCCATGATAATAAATAACAAAAATGTGTCTATGAGCAGTTTTCTTGACATATCCACTTTAATGGATGTTCCGGATATTCCGAAGGACCATCCAATGGACCCTGGGGTCCATTTTCCAGTCACAACTCCGAGTTCATTCTGATGAGTTGTCTATTATTTTCCAGAGGAGCGTTCATTGTCTCCAGGGTCTGTTTTCCGATCATAACTCCGAATTCATAATTATAAGACGTCTATGAGAGTTTACGAAAAAAAAACGGAGTTCTTGGATCAGTTC